CAATTGGTAATTACAATAAGCGTGAATGTAAACTGTCATCACACTACAAATGCGATCCATTGAAATCACGTAACCTTCACTTAATACACTCTACTTCATTCTACCTAAAAGTGAATAATTATTATTAAACGTGCATTGTATATTCATTTTATCGAATTAATGAATATTTCATCTATCAAAGGTATTTATATTGCTTTCATAAGAACAGGCTGCTTGAACAGGAATGCAAAAAACCATTTAGAATAATTGAATACTTGGTTCTTGATTTCCTTAGCATTTCTAGAACGAAATAAAAATGCATTCAAAATGAATACTGTTTCGATTACATAAGACAAATATTTTTTTTTAATGCGGAATGCGTTTCTAAAGAGTTTGAATCTACTTTGTAAACAATGTACATAAAAATTTCTCTGCTTTTTAAAGTTATTGAAACAATGCATATCACATTCTTCTTTTCTTTTCTTTTCTTTTTTTGCCGAAGTAAGATCTTCATTTACGTTACCATAATAAGTCGGCATATAGCGCGCACTTTTACACAAAAAATAAAATCGAAATTTACGGATGAGTGCTAAACGCTGGGTATAAAAGAGATACCTTTAAAAATAAAGAGTTGAGTATTGTGAAGAAATTAGAATTCTATATATATGTTTAATAATGTTTATTTAAATGAAGTGACATATATAACTTATGAACTTTCGTTATTGGATAACATGAAAATTTCGTCATATTCGTATTCCGTTACATCTTCAGGCACATCATCAAATTCTATTTCATCTTCACCATCCCTGTTAGTCTGAATTATAAACAAATAATCATCTTCTGTTCCATCTTTCTTGTTAAATACACAATTTTTTAAAATAACTTTTGCATTATGCCAGATTTAGTTTCATTATATGCTTTTATTATCCACTTACACGTTATTTCTAGACTGATATGATTCACTTTGCCTTTTTATGTAAAAGTTTATTTCGCCTTCTAACATCCACATGTTTTTCTTGCTCTTTAGGATTTTAATTTTAAAAGTATACCATTGTTCAAAAGCCTGGTGTAATACATCAAACGAATGACTTCAAAAGATAAGAACACTTTACATATACATTTCAGGTCTTTTAGTAAAAAGTAGGCTCGCGTTATACGGTAAAAATACCTAAAAATTAAAGAGTGCAGTTTGAAGTATAGGTGTGCAAAAAAATTATGCGCCGGGATATTCTTCAAAAGAATGATCTGCATTAGGTGAGTAGTTAATGTCTATTTTGAGAAAAACAACTAAAAAAAAGAAGAAAGAAATAAAAGAAAATATAAATAACTGGATGTTCGTATATAGAAATTAGACACATTTTGTCTACTTCTGTGAGAAACTTTTTTACAACGATTTATAACACTTAATTAGGAAAGATTATTGAAGATCATAATAAACAAACACGTTTATCTGCGTTTAACAACAAAATAAAGGGAAAAATATTTGGGGTATTTACGCAAAGCATCACGCATGGATGGCAAAGTAAATAACAGCATAAAAATATGCATAGAAGATCTTAAACATAATGCAATAATGCATCTTTAACACTATTCGTTCTTTTTATTCTTAGGTGCACTTAATTTGTAAAGAGCATCATATATTCTCTGAAGCATATCGAAAAGTTTTTATAGGCTTTCGCTTTCAATAACTGTGAGCTGTATCCCTTCCAGGCAAGTATGTTACAGCTTCCTTTACAAGGTTTGTGTGGAACGGTACCAAAAAGTTTCAACTTGAATAACAAGATGAATCAATCTGTAAAAGATAATTTTGAGTGATAAGAACCTTGTTTTATTTAAATAATGGCATAAAAAGCGAAATATTTGCAATTTTGAATAAATTTGTTTGATTTACTTATGTTATTCATAGTTGAGTGCGGAATAGTAATACTTATTGAAATTAATATTCTGCGCGGGAGTGCGAATACGAGAGAGTGAACTTTAAATTCGGTTGTCCAAATTAATTGTTATAGAATTAATGATAAGTCGAAATATAACCGAAATTGTAATTTTTCTTTTTATCCTAGTTCTACTGAGCGGCATTGCGAATTTTCCAATGTAATTGGAATGAACTATCCGTGGTTTATCTTCTATAATTTGGGTTTTCTTCCGTTCAACCAAATTGGCACTTTAAGCTAGAGCAACACCACAATACAAACAAACGTCACTATGGAATAGTAAATAAATGGTCAGTGAGATCGATCATTTAGAGAGAATTTCATGGACCTTGATCTGATGTTATTGTCGATCAGGTGGGATAAGTAACAACATAATAGAGTTTTTTTCTATAGTTTTTTTCCTCCATGCTGCTTTCAAATGAACCCTGGTATCTTATTATTGTGCAAAATTTTCACTTAAAACAACGCGAGGAGAAGGTACCATTACAATACATATGTATTAAATGGAAAATAAATTTTTCAAAGTGTTTAAGTTACAGGTCTCCAATGCTTAGGTACAAAATACATTTCAGATCGTATTTTAATAAAATTCTTGATAAATTCAATAAAATGAATGTCGTGAAAGATAATATGTCAAATTAACGCTCAAAAGTCAAAGTTGTTTATCTGTCATTCTAACTTCAGGAAAAATTTACTATTTAAGAAAAGTATAAATTTCCTTAAAAATAAGCATTAGAAGTTTTAAATATTTTTTAAAGAATAATTGTTTTATGAGTCTCTAACTTTTGGCGATGTGTTAAGTAGAACATATTTACTTGTGATTCTTTAAGGCGGAACATTATTGTTACATTGTTTCAAAAATTGTTTAAAAAAATGCCTTATTGATTAAATTTTGGAGACATGTGTATAAAAAAAAAAGCACACAGTTTAATTTCAGAATATTTACGAGTACTTATTTTTAAGCCTTTCTTACAAGCAGAAAAGAATCTTGACAGAAAGTTCTTCAGTAAAAATAAGTGGGATTTAAAGTTACGAACTCCATTTGTTCACGCGCGTAATATTACTTCATATTTTGAAAAGCATATCTAATTTGAATTATTAATCTCTACAAAAATATATATTCTTTATACAATAGTCATTACGAAACTGTAATATGTCCATTATGTATGAGCTACTTTAATTCTGCCCTTTAATGTAATATAAAAGTAATGCCATTTTGAAAACCTTTGAAACTCGTATGCAATTGCATTGAAATGAGTTTAAAAAGCGAAACATTTACTGAAATATCTCAAGCAATGCATAGGAATTTAATATCTTTTCAATAAAACTTGGTTCTCTAATATATAATTTTTTTCTCAATCAAAATAATTTTTTTCTTAATCAATCAATCAAATAATTCAATTTTTTTTATCATTTCTTAATTAATCTAATATATAATTTTTTTTCTTAATAATTCTTCCCATTTTTCCTTATTAATAAGTAAATGAAAATGAAAGATAAATCTCTTATGATGTATTGCAAATAATGTAACTATAATAGTTAATTAACGTGTTGTTTATAAATAATTAAATTAGAAAATAATTACTAAAGGATTATTCTTAATCAAATCAATTACAGTAATAAATACTACAAATTAAACAAAATTTTTCACGAATCTCATATGCAGTTAAATTGTTATGTTCGGAAACACAAACACTTTAAATTTATTTAATAACGAAACTTACACCTCTTTTTTAAAGTTCATGAACTGACCTAGTGTAGAATATGCTCACCTGTTTTAAAGATTTATTGCTGTGCAAAAATTCTGTTTACCCTAGAAAGAATAATTAAGTAAATAAATATGAAATAATTATATTGTTCATTGTAATTTCAAAATCATTTGTTACCAAGACATGCCAAAAAGTGAACCAAAGCAAAAAAGAGTTCGAAAGCTTTGAAGCAAAATGGCAGCCTCACAATTGATTTGAATTCGAAAACTTTTCAATCATATTTTTAGTAGTTTTTTCCTCAAAAATTACTGATTATATATGAATTGAAGCAATACAACAATCTATTGGTTAAGAAAATTATTTTCTAGTGTAAGCTTTATTGTTGTGCAATAAGTATGTTAAGAATAATTTATTCTTATAATATTGTTTTTGAAATGAAGATAATTGTATTAGTGAAAACAAACATGTGAGAATGGTGACAAAAATGATCTCACAATTTTTAAATATAGATAACATTATAAGAAAATTAATATATTAATACAATATATATATATATATATATATATATATATATATATATATATATACTGATGTAAATATAATATATTAAATATATTTATAAAGAAAAAATGGTAACTTACGTATTATCGCAACCTGTTGGCGAAATTATATAAAACGAAGCACATGGATGCCAATTCAGCGCGTACGACACATAGGAAATCGGGGTTGCCAACTTGGCGAGTTATTCATAGAGTTGGCTTTGTTGCGATAAAAAAAAATACGTAAGTACCAAAAAAATGAAGAAAAAAAAAGAAACAACTAATACCTATAAATGTAACATAAAATGTATTAAATATATAAATACATTGATACGATCGTTTCACGGGCGTTCGCTCTGCTCGTGGTTCACTACGCATGCGCTGAGTAGTATCGAGATGGGAACGCAAATATGAGTGCACATGCATATTTGTTGAAACTAATCATATGAGCATCCAAACTTTGTAGGGATTGAAGATAATATACAATGAATATGTTGGCACGCCAGCTGATAAACTGTGGAATCTGCACACCAGTGCTTCTCAAACTTTTAATGTTTACATCCCAATTTTCAATCACAATTTTCATCTCTTCCCTTCCATACAATAACAATGTATTGAATTCAATAATAAAATGTACTTTGATGCTAAAGCTACAATACGATTTTAATTATAAACCGAACAAATTATCAAGATAAGTATTAAATTTGTATATAATTTTGTATATGACAAGCCCATAGATAAATTAACTTAGCCAATTAACTTAGTATTGATGAATTAATAATGAAATAAATTATGCAGTACTGATATATTTATAAGTATATTAGAGTAGTGTAAATGTCACCCATCAGTATGGTGGATATGACCTTCGGCTGGTAACCGAGAGTGGGCTCGGGTTCGAATCCCGAATTAGGTGGGGATGTATTTTCGGGAAAAGAAGTCGGACGTTCACCTGAAATGGATTTGTCTCGAATGGAAAGCAGCGCACCCCTTCAGTTCTATGCTGAGATCATCGTTTGTAATAAAGTCTATATTCTTTTGTGATTGTATTGTATGTTTTTGTTCATCTATCTCTCGTCTTTCGTATGTATCCCAGGATAAAACACACGGCAACAACAACAGTGTAAATATGCATTTAATATAGTATATCAGAATGTATTTCCTTTTGCTTCCTTCCAGTAAAATAATATATTTTTTAAATCTTTTTTTTTGACTTTTCGATATGCTCATGCCCCCATAGAGGGGCGCGCCCCACTGTTTGAAAAACTCTGCTGTACATTCATTGTTTTATTACACATTTAAATAAAAACGAAAAAGTTTAATAAAATATACAATTGTAATAGATGGAAAGTATTACGTTTATTTTTTAAAAATATTTTCTTTCTTAAATAGAGTTTTTGAATAAGGAAATACACACGGTATCCGGCTTAAAGTGTCCAAAAGTAATGGCTTATTGTTACGGAACTACCCATCAGAATGCAATAAACTGTTCATCCATGGACTGGAAAACTCTTCGAAATTTTTTGGATCTGGTCCGATAAGCCGCATGTGCGCGTTATTCGGCAATCACAGACGATAAAATTTTTACACTATTTTCATTAATAAAGATGTGGACGCCCCAGTAAAAGATGCAGCGCGTACTTTGGTTAACGGAATTTAAATCAGTCACGCTTGTACATCGACGTGTTCGAACAGAATGGAATGTCGACCCTTGACATCGAAATATATCCACCAATGGGACAGAACTTTAAAGAAGACGGGAACTTTGGTATCTCAAACTGGCAAGTATCCTTTTTTCATGATAGAAGACACTGTTGATCGTGTGCGTGATTCATTTTGTAGGAGTCCTGATAAGTCTATTAGGCAAGCCAATAACGACATTCCATTTTGTTCGAACACGTCACTGTACATGCGTAACTGATTTAAATTCCTTTAATCAAAGTACGCTCTGCATCTTTTACTGTGGCGTCCACATATTTACAAATGAAAAAAGTATTAAAAATTTATCGTCTGTGATTCCGAATCTAACTCTTAAGATACGGAACATCACAAATACAGCATCAGTTCCAAAACATTTGGTTTTGTGTTTTACTCATTTGTTTTTTGTATCCTTTGACGACATTTCAGTCTGTTAAGTACGACAAGATGCTTGCTATGCTGCATTAATTCTGTTGCTAATATATTTTTCAAGTATTCTAAAGGTTTTTGTGATGTTTTGTTTATGTGCTGTGTTCTCTGGGGACAGTTGTATTTAATGGAAAAAGGAAAGTTATTCTAAACCGCTTCCTCAATTAACGGAAGCTTTAAATCACTATTTAAATGAGTTTGATGCCAACTTTTAAATAAAGTTTACACAACTTCTTTAGTTTTGTAAGCTGGTAAATGAACCAACTCTCCGGTAGCGTTACAAATTGCATTTTTAACGAGAAACTTCGCCGACACTTAAATAATCACTCACGCAAGCATCCTTTGTTGTATTTAAAAACCTAGTTTTTCTTAAGAACACGCATACAAAAAAAATTCTTTTACCCTTTCCTTTTTAAAAAAAACAAAGTTATACCGTAGAAAGCTAATATAAATCTATTTTATTGTAGTTTCTATAGTAAAAATCTTTTGAACCGTTAAAAAAAGTGAAAGTGTTGAAATAACTTCTTTTGTTGTATTTCTTTCGCATAAAAACATATTGTGACAGAAGCAAACATTGGGGAAGGGAATTAGCAGAGAAGTTGAGAAATTCAAATCTTTAGCCCTTTTTCTATGGTTAGGCTTAAATACAATAAATGAAATTCCTTTGAAGGAAGATAAATTAAACTATGGAATTGACTCAGATTCTTCTGATTTTCTAACGAAAACCGTAATGAACAGTTTGTGAGGTTTACTGAAATCGAATTTTAAAATCACACAATGCCTTTTCATTTTGTATTCAAATGTTCTGATTTGATATTCTAAATAAAATTTCTCTTTTTGTTTGTTTGACAGCTGCTGCATTGGAATTTTGCAATGGTGGCGTTGATGAATAGCTTTTTCTTGGAACTTTTAACCTTTTCTTGTTTCACTATTCGGTATTTAAAATAAGCGCTGCGTGGAATTCTTTTATCATAACAGCAAACAAAAGACAGATTTTTGTATAGACTATTTTTCAATCTATTATACTTAAATTTCAGCCTGATGATAAATTATTTGAAGAAATGAGTCACATTTTAGATGGACTAGTAATATAAGCCTAAAACGACAAAGGGACAGAATGTGCGTCTTCTTTTTCTTCAAAATTTAAATTTCATTGTGAAAGAGATATAGAGGAAAAGATTGTATTCTTACACGAAAAAAAAGAATCAATAAAAATTATCTGACCACTTCCTGCAGTATCCTTTCTTTCAATGTGGGACGAAATTTTTTCCCATTTTGAAATTCTCTTAAAAATTTCCTTTTCCTTTATCAGAAATAAAAGAAAGCGAGCACAGCTTATTTTTAAATTATATAAATATTTGAATATTAAATAAAAACAGTTCATTAAAAAGAGAGAAATATGTAGAAAGGATAAACTAGTAAATATTTGTCACGGGCTAATTTTTATGACTACCGTTAGAAAATTAGCCTAAAGTGATATATTTACGCGTTTCTCCTTATAATTTGTTTTTCTTCAATCTGTTTTATAGTTATTTAAGCAACCTCTTCCATCAACAATTTTTTGTCCGATTTGAGGTTACAATTTCCGGAAATCAGCAGGACTAGATCAGGTCCATGACTTAAAGTACTATAATGCAGGGGCGGGCATTAAGTCCATGCGATTGACTGGTGGACCACCAAGATATTTTCGGGTGACCACCTTTACTAAAACTTAAGATGTACATACTAAGATAAACATATTTAGGAACATCGACGCCAGATAGACTGAAGAATCGGCTTTTCACAATCGATGTGACTCTGTTTTCTTAGTAAATGATTCCATGAATGTGCAGACGACTAATGTACCTTCACTGGAAGCGTATGAAGACGCTTAACGCATTTGCTGCCACCACAGAGGAAAAAAGCAATCACCGCGATATCAGCCGCAGAAATAAGTCTTTCTACAAACGCGACTGAAGGGGAGAATAAACGTTGATGAACGTGACTTCCCGTTACAGCACGGGATTGGCTACTGAAACATCATCTCACACACCACGCTTCGAGAGATTGTGGCTCAAGTGTCGTCCACGTCACTTGACCATGGTTCAAAATTACGTGGTCCGTTGCCAAAAGCCCTCGTGTAGCTGAACCGTGCGACGTTAATATTCAATCAATCAATCGAGAGATTGTGTTCTCATGTTGACGTCCCTCTCCACGATGGCGTGGGACCAGGCAGTGGTACCTGCATGCGTAGGTTACAAATTCATCGATGCAAGTATATTCACTGCTTTAGATACGTCCAAGCTCCATGGTCTAGCAGTCGCTCTCATAGTTGCTCAAACATTCAACTTGACAATTTTGTGTTGCCTGTGTTTTTGTAGTAAAAATAGTAATCTGTCATATTTTAATAGAGGGTGTAGACCACAACACATTGAAAAAATTGGGATTAAAGGAAGTAAAGATCCTGGAAAAGTCCTGCCTTAATGAAATCCAAAAGCAACAATGGGTTGGCTGTAAGATCCTACCTAGAGAGCCAAAGGTACTCTAGGATATTTTCTGGGGAAGAAAGCCCAGTGCCACAGTTGGTTTAGATTGCATAGCTCATGGTCCAATCAGTTTATGTCTAAGATTTAAGATGATCACCGAGAAAGCGAATAAATATGGTTTCGTTTTGCTTGTTTCACCCAAATGTGAGGAAAGCACCCGGGCAATTGCTCAGATACCAGCGTGCTATGGTGGAACAAACCAAATAGTTCTGTTTTTGCACTTTGCCTTTGAAAAAGATTCCAAATAGGTAAGAGGCGCAGATTATATCGAAGGATCACAAGCACCAGCTTCAACCAGTGTCTGCAATCTCATTGCCTTCAGAGTCAACATGTGATGGAATCCACTGAAAGGGCGTCTGATGAAACGTTGAATCGTGTAAGCCTCTTCAGAATAGTCTTTACAATATTGTCTCTCACGCTATGTCAATTGGCCAAGCATTGTACAGAACTTTTGCTATCAGACAAAATTCAAATTTCATTACCACCGTTCCGTTTGATTAATCCAATGAACACCGACTAAAAGCTATTCAACGGATCATTGATTAACAGATTTTTAATCTTTGGAATACTATCAAGTAATGAATTTGACTAAGCTTTTAAACTTGCACATAGCGCCGTTTGAATTTAACATGAAAATGGTCCCGCATTTACGGTTGCCTCGGAATGGGACACAGACGTACTGGATACTGACCGGGTTATATTGCCAACTCTTACTCAATTTACGGGGGTGAGTCGGAAAGTCAAAGTTCTCCTGTCCATTGTGGTCAGTTGTGTATGAAAATTAAAACATAGAATGAGATATTAAGTATAAGACGTAACTTTATTTTTCCACATAAGTACCAAGTACGTTGAGACTTTTTTCACACCACTTGATGAGCTTCAAAATGCCCCAGGGAAAACTGAGGGAAATACGGAAAAAGTGTTTACTTTTGCGTGGACTTTTTGGAGGTTGGAACCATCAATGTTACGCGTTACTGTGACACCCTGTTGAAATTGAAAGAGGCAATTTGGAACAAACAGCCTGGGCTTCTCAAATTTGGCATTCTGTTGTTGTATGACAATGCAAGACCACACTCGCCAACGGCAAAGCAAAACTATATTGCAACTCTTATTGTGAGCGTCTACATCATCCGCGATACAGTCTTCATCTCGCACCAAATGACTTTCAACTGTTTTCGGCTTCGAATAAGTATATCGCCTGAAGGCGCCTTGGAAGCAATGCTGATGCCAAACATACCGTTAAATGCTTCTTCCGTATGCAAAGCCCT